TTACAACTTGAAACCCTGAGACCCACTATATAAAAATGTAGCTGAAAGAAAAGAGGACTATGAATTGCCCCTCTCTCCTCCTCCTCCCTCCCTGGGGAGTTTTAGAGTTGAGCCAAAGAGTGAAAAACAGCAGATTTGAATTTCAAGATCTTCAAACATTTTTTTTAATGTTCGTATTAAATCGTGTAAAACTAAATACTGTCATTCTAATAAAATCCTCCTGTGAACTGTTTCCCACTGTAATCATAGGGTTTTCTTTTTCTTTTTCTTCTTCTTTTTACGCTGGGATGTGTAATATTGATAAAAAGAAAGGGGGTAAAACCATAAGTGTTGTGCTTTCCTGATGTTTTATGGTGTTTTATTAAAATGAGTATGGTACAACAAGAAAAAACAGAGACTTAAGAAAAAAATCTTCACTCAAATGAAGGTAGTTTGGGTTAATTGAATGAGCAAATAAGATATAGAAAACTTATCTACAATAGCCAAGATTTGCATAGCTACTTGATGAACTTTCTTAAAGTCCACAATAATCCAACCAGAGTTAAATCTCTCCCTTCTCTTAAAATGATGTTTACTATAATTGTTCTCGGATAGCATACATCTCATAGTGCAGACCTCAGGAAATTAAAAATATACATGTATTGTTTTGTTTTCATAAGCAAATGTTTAAGTCTTTAGGACATATTTGTATACCCTATCTGACCACACTCTGTGTACAGCATTAAACTGTATAATTGTACAATGGTATTTTCCAAAAATACGTTTGGCACTATGAGACAATTCAACTATCTGGATTTTTGGAAGACATTGGGTCAATTTATGGAAGCATGCACGAAAGGAAATGTCAACCCTTTTTCTACTACCTCTGAACAATAGTGACACAAGCTCAAAGGTTCTCTTTAATTTCATTTTAGAGGGGCTGTGGAGGGGGGAGCACCAACACATTGATTAAAATCCACTGAGATTCTAATGTTGCAAAGACAGTCTCTTTCCCAGAACAGTAAGCAGAGGTTAAAATCTATTTTTTGCTTTTGTTGTTTGCTTTTTAGTGCAGTTACTACATTCCTTTGAAAAGAGGCGAAGTCCTCTGTTTTCTGAGACACTTGCTTTGTTGGACCCAATGATGTGGGATCTAAATGACCTCCTAATGAAATAAATGTGGCCATGGGCGGTAAGCACTTTAAGAGACCCAGGGAAAAGATGCCCAGGGCAATTTCAACTCCACAGGGGATACCAGGCCCCAAAAGTATAAGAATTGTTTTCCCAGGCAAGGTGCTAATTTCACTAGCTGGTTCTCAAGACCTCTCTCCCCTTTTATCTGCTGGATTCCTGGGTTGACTAGTCAACAAATGTTAATTGAGTACCTACTTTGTGCCTGTGCTTGCTCTCAGGGCAAGCTCTAAACAAGACTGACAGAGTGCAGACCTTAAAGTTTTCCTCACTAAGAACAGATTATTTCAGTACTATTTTGTGATTGTTGAACTAGGTGCTTGCAACCAAATACAATGCCTATCATCTTTATTCTGTTTCTTAATACTCCCTCATGAAAGAATAGCAATTGGAACTTTCAAATTAATGGGTCATTTGCAGATGGGAAAGTCAAGACCACATTCACCAAGTCATAAGTGAAAAAGTTAGAAACAGGATTAACTCCCCCATCGCATCCTCTTTAAACTCATAGGACCTAGTGTCTGCCAGCCTTTGATTTGACTTAATTGGAATAAATGCCCATGAGAGGGGTTATGAGGGTCAGCCATGGAAAAAATTCATAGATAAGCATTGGTGGTTCTTTATTAATTGACTTCCATAAAAACAGAGGTCTCTGGGAAATTTCTACAAACTTTATTACAATTCCTTCATCACAAGCTGACTTTCTATCATTTCTTTCTAACCAAGTGAATGCCCCAAAAGGAATGGGGAGTAGAGAGGATCATCCAGGGGTGTGTGTGTGTGTGTGTGTGTGTGTGTGTGTGTGTGTGTGTGTGTGTGTGTGTGTGTGTGTGTGTGGTATTAAGAATTAATGAAACAGCAGTACATACTGGGGAAGGACAGAGAGAGAATGAAGAGAGACTAAACCAAATGATTGTGTTTATTGTTCAGATTCTACAAATGGTCATTTGATCTTTGGTGTGAACAACTGATAACTCTTCTTAGGTAATTTTATATTTTACTACAACAAATTCTTTCCCAGGACCCAGAGTACTTTATCATAAATAACCATCACTGTTAAAGCCAAAGTGTCACTTCCCCATGCAAAGTTATTTTCCACAAGTACACACTAGGATCAAAGTTTAATATGTAATGTGAATACTTTGAATTTCTTAGAATCAATTATATGATGCTTTCTCCTTTTTTATCTGAAATAAAAACAAATTTCTGATTTAGGTTCCATATACTATTTTTACTGCTTGGCAAAGACATAAAGAAGTGCCCAGCAAATTATTTGGACAAGTACTAAAAACTCCTAATGATGCTGGGCACTGGTGGCTCATGCCTGTCATTCTAGCTACTCAGGAGGCTGAGATCTGAAAATAATATTTGAAGCTGGCCCCAGCAGGAAAGTTCACAAGGTTCTCATCACCAATTAACCATGAAAAACACAGGAGTGGAGCTGTGGCTCAAGTGGTAGAGCATTAGCCTTGAGTAAAGAAGCTCAAAGCCCAGGCCCTGAGTTCAACCCCAGGACTGGCACAAACAAAAACAAAGACAGACCGAGCTACTATCGAATGTTAGAAATATACAGAGGTCAGTCTAGGAAACTACTGAAATAATTCATAGTGCTCTACTGTTACAGACAGAGTGAAAACTTCTTAAGATTTCTCATAAAGCTTTCCAATTCTTCAGCTATCAAGATTTTCTTCCATACTCAAACCAAAATCATTCCTCATAGTCTAAAGGTTGGAAGTGCCAAAGTAAGTTCTGACAAAAGGTATTGGGCTGGTTTTGAATAGTACACTAGCAATAGGGGCATTTATCAAACATCTTATCTCAAATGCAAAACACACTGGGAAACATTGCATCCAGGGAAGAGAAGTCTCCAGAAGTCTCCCAGCTCACAACTGCCCAGTGCTGAAGTCAGGGTACATAGGCACCCCAACCCTAGATCCTGTCTGCCTTGTTCTCCACAGAAGAGTAAAACTTGGAAGTCTGAAAAACTTTCTAAAATGTAAGTTGGACACAGAACATTTTAAATCTTGCTGCTATTTAATAATGGAGCCATATGGCTTCTAGTTTCTTGTAAAACAAATCATACTTTGAAAAGGCTTTTCAACATTGTATCACAATTAACGTGTGCCTGAACTTTAAAATAATCCTTGTCCTCCCTTCTGAAAGCAGATTATGTCAACTGATTGTTTATGCAGGAATTTAAGATTCCAAGGCACATTTACAAAGATTTCAACCAAAGACACAAACTGTAATGCACACGCATACACACTCACACACACAGTACATCAAACACACACACACACACACACACACACAAATGTCATTTATTGCCAACAGCTCACTACCCTGAGCACAACAGTTTATACTTCTGTAAAGCTACTGGCTTCTAGAGAAAATTACAGTGCCAACAATTTCATTTAACATTTAGGGTGTACTAACATATAAAGAAATTAGCAGTGATAAACACAGTCCAATTTTTAGAAAGATACAAGTTCTTGTCTAGCAGTTAGCCAATCAAAAAGCAGGTCACATTTGTTAGCCATATTAAATACATTCAACATCATGAATTCTCATGGTTCTGCTGACCATTCCAGCAAGTGTGTTTTATTTTGCAAGATAAACTTAATAAAATTCCTTTTCCAGAGGTTGTTTTTTTTTTTCTTTAACTTCCATCTTTACTCTAAACATCCACCAAACTCATTCTCAAAAACTCTCTAGCATGAATCCTCTGGGCATTTGTACTCTGCTGAGAAAACTCAATTCTGAAGAATTTCTACTTCTCAAAGTGACTTTTGAGCATATATATATATATATATATATATATATATATATATTCCTATTCAGACACTATAACACAAAGCCCCAATTTAGGCAAAATGGACAGCCCCTCCCCCGCAGCCTGCTTTGCCTTCAGCCAGCACAGAGGGATAAAAAAAAAATCACTGACATTAAATTTTTAAATTCCAGAAGGCTAGTATGGAGTTCTGAATTTTGCATTTAGAAAGTTCTAAAAGTCTTGGTCTCACTGTTTCCAAAGTTGCTTACTGCCTGGGAGACTCTGACACACTCTCTCTCTCTCTTTCTCTCTGTCTATCTCTCCCTTTTTCTCTCTCTCCCCTACACACACACACACACACACACACACACACACACACACTTGTACAAAGCCCACAGCTGACTTCAATGCTTAGCCAGCTCCTGTCCCAAGGTAGAATCCCTTGGAGACTCAGCCTCCAGCAAGGGGAGAAAGTAGAGAATCTTGCCCCAAGCAACTGGTTTCTGATGGACCGCGGTAACCCACCAGTGTGTTCCTCCAGGCTACTTCTAGAAAAGTCTGTAAAGCTCCTCTTTTGCCCCTTTACTTGGATTTTGATGACTTTGAGAAGCAAATATGAAGTCAAAGCAGACTTCCTTTAGAATTTGTCAATCTACACATACATAAGTACGTTTTGCCCAATGCAAACAATCACAAAATCCCTTGTATTGTATCTCAAGAAACAGGACCATCTCAGAGCCTGCCAACCAACGCTGGAGTTCCAGGAGAATAAGAATCTCTGGAGGCACCCTCGCCCCCCCATATGAGCTGCTGGGGGGAGGGGGGTGTGCGGTTTAAGATTCAGGCACAAACTGTCTCCCGGCTCCAAGAGTTGCTGTCCCTGCAAATCCTCCCTCCAAACTAGTGGCTTCAATCTGGCGCTCAATCCCACCCTACGTGCTAGTAACTAGTAGTGGGACACTTCCCCTAAAATTCAACCGGGAAAATCCCATGCACTGTTTAAAAAAAATCCAAATAAAATAAAAACCACGCACACAGCTAAGGTTGAAGTACTTACCTCTGTGCGAGACTGCAGTCTCTTGTTCATCTCATAGATTCGGTACTCTGGCTGTACCATGTAAGGTGTATGTCTCCTATAAAATGGGCCGAAAGGAGAAGAATAGAAGGGGTCATGTGGTGTGCTGGACATCTTGCCTGCTTGTCGAAAATCAAGCTAAACAGAGTATTAGTAACGTCCATGCAGAGCACATGGGCTGTGTTCTCCCCAGTACAAAGTAGACGCACGCACACACGCTCACACACACACACACATGCACACACACACACACACACACACAGAGGCAGGCAGGCAGGCTGAACACACTGACTGGGAAGTGCTGTAGAAAACCTCTATAGCAGAGGAGAGGGAGCGGGAGGAGGGAGGCAGGGAGGGAGGGAGGCAGGGAGGGAAGAAGGGAGGGAGGGAGGGAGGGAGGGAGGGAGCACACGGGAGAGGAGGGAGAGCGCAGAAGCTCTGAGAGAGGGAGAGCGAGGAGGAAGGGAGGGAAGGGAGAGAAGAGGAGAGAGAGGGAGAGAGAGACTGGGAAAAGCTGGGTGGCCAGAGGCACTACTGCTTGTTTTGAAAGAAGCAGTTTGTGGAGAGGTCATTTCCTGTCCACACTGTAGACTAGTTCTGAAATATAATTCTCCTCCTAGTCTGACAAGAGGTCTAAGGCTGGATTGTAATTTTTTTTCTCTCTTCCAGCCAGGACCCTTCCCAATCTGAGTGCTCAGCTGGTTAGCATAGAGGTGACAGAGCCACTTTTCCCTGACAGCCTTACTGTGGTGAGGGTATCACTCAGGGGCTGACTACCAAACACAGAAACACTGGCCCTGGGCTTCCCCTCAAGTTCCAGCTGGTGATTCACTCTGTGCTGCAGATTTCTCTGGGATCAAATCTCCCTACAGCAGTTTTGTGGTGGTGGTGGTGGTGGTGGTGATGGTGGTGGTGGTGGTGGGTTTGGGGGGGTTGGCTCTACTGACTGGGCTTCCCAGAGCTGGTGTCTTTGCATTCCTCCCCTTCCCCCACCTTTCAAATTACCCTTCTGCCCAACCCCCTCTCCCAAGACCTCATTCAATCCCTTTCTAAAGTTGGTTTAAGGAGGGCCTGGATTCAGGTTACCTGAGCATTTCCAGGTTAAAAAAAAAAATCATCCTGAATGTGGAACCTCCTAAAATACATCCAGGAGGCAATGATCTTTTTTATTTTTATTTTTCCCTAGGAAGAAAAATAAATAAATCTAAAAGCAGATCTCCCAATAAGATTAGAAAATCAAGGGAGAAAACTAGTGTGAGTGTGTCCACGTGTGTGTGTGCGTGGACACACACACACACAGAGCATTGAAGATTCACTAGGAAATTGTAGGTCATTGAATGGATCATCCCCAAACAATACATCCAATTCTAATGGAGACAAGGTCTTTAATTTCCAAGATTTGTCAGCTCTATACATCTGTACTTACCTGTGGTCTAGGACAACTGCAAGCAAACGCCAACCCATGGGAGCTGGAAAGTCTTGACAGTAAAATTGAATATCTAGAAGTGAACCATGTTCTGCTGGCACCAATGATGACAGACACAGGACACTGAAAGCCTCCTCACAGAAAATCTAAGTGCATCGAGCTAACACCTAGCTAAGTCAGTGGCACTGAGGAAAGAAAGCCAAAGACCACCAAAAAGCAGGATGGTTGCAAGACTTGAATGCAAATGAATGCAAATGAGACATTTCTTCATTTTAATAAGCAGATTAATTAACTTTCTGCCCCATTCATGGCTTGGGGTATCTCCAAGTCACTAGCCAACGGGGGATCAGGTATTGCTAATTTGGCAATTTACACATGCTGAAGAATACTCAAGCACAAAATTGCCCCCAAATTGCTATCTTAATCATGCTTTTTCCACAGTTCCAATGGTATAGCCCAACACAGTAATGTAGCTTGCCAGGATGAGATTAGGGAAGTATTATTACAGTGAGGCTGTTTGGAACTTGTTCTTCAGAGACCCCCAAAAGCACACCAGTGTGCCTGGTTTCAGGTTTCATTGCAAACCTAAAAGCTGGACTATATTTGCTGGAAGGTTTGTAAAAACACACAACCTTCTAAAGACATAATTTCAAACAAATTTGGTATGATTTATGTTTTGGTATGGCATTCATTGTAAAAAAAAAAAATCTAACGGTTCTTTGTGTTTAAATTCCAAAGTAAAGAAGTTCCAAGAGTTTAGGGCCTGCCTTGAAATGTGTATTTATGTGACCCTCTCAGGCCAAGAATCAGAGAAATCTCCTAGGCAGGCATGGAAAGCCCAGTTGTCCAAACAGCTCAGAACTCCAGCCATAAGGGAAAGCTATGTTTTGCTCTCACTCACACCTGAGAACAATTCTAAGCTATCACTGGAAAGGAAGTTCTTGATGATCACATCTAAAGATGACCAGTTCAGAACAAGCTGAAACTCTATGTTGCTTGATCTACATCCAAAATATTTCTGATTTAAGAATCTCCAAACTGCCGGGCACTGGTGGCTCACACCTGTATTCCTAGCTACTCAGAAGACCTAAGGATCATGGTTCGAAGGCAGCCCAGGCAGAAAAGTCCATGAGACTCTTATCTCCCATAAACAATTCAGAAAAAGCCTGAAGTGGTGGTGTGTCTCAAGTGGTAGAGCACTAGTCTTGAGCACAAAAAGACGCAGGGACAGTACCCAGGCCCTGAGTTCAAGCCCCAGAACTGGAAAAAAAAAGAATCTCCAAACTGGTGTCCTGCTCACATCCTCAGTCCCCAGTTGCTGTCTTCCCTCGATTGACCTTACTCTAAACAGAGTGGTGATGGTGGAAAAGTAGAACTGATGCATCTAAGGTCTTCTCAATCAGCATCTCCTTGGCACCAGTAGGAAGTGTCCAAGTTCCTCAGGCTCATGGTACACAGGGCCTGAGGAAGACCTGCTCATTCTCTGACCATACATTCATTCTCTTGTCGCTGCCTCTGTCTTTCTCTTAAGGATACACAACACATTCATGTACTCATTTATTTATCGATTCTCCACTCATCTGTCCATGTATGTTTTTATTTGCTGTACTTGATCTTCTCAAGGCTACATGCTCCTTACATTTGTACTTTGGTTCTTTTATTTACCTCCCTCTTCCCCTTCTACATTCCATGCAATGGTCTCCTCCTACATGAACTTTTCAAAATCCATCAATTTATTTAGTCAGCTGACATTCCACTCACAATGAATGGGGAGTGCACGCCTAGCACATAACAGCTTATGTGGTCTGTGATCTTAAGCAAGCCACTCGGTCTCTCTATACCTCAGTCATCTCATTGGCAAGCTAGGGGTAATAGTATCTGGTCTATAAAGACTGTGGTGAAGGGTTACCAACTGTATTGAAACTCTCATATCCAAGTGCTTAGTTAACCAATAATCCTTATGATTATTGGGTACCGGATATCAGCTTAGGTGCTAGGAAGTACTGGGGAGCCAAGGCAGGCATTGAAGAGAGACTTGCCACTTTCCACCCCTTGCCATATGTGGTGTGAGTAAAGGCGTGACATCATAAAAGAGTTAAGCCACACCATTTCAGATTGGAGTGCAATCACAGAAGGGAGAAATAGAAAATCACCACCACCACCTTGGTGAGCAGTGCCCCTTCCACATTCTTCTGAGGACTTTTTTTTTTTCGTATCAGTACTGGGGCTTGAAAAAAGAGCCTTAGTGCCTGAGTGCTATCATTCAGTGGGTTTTTCCCAGTCAAGGTGGCACTCTATCATTTGAACCACAGCTCTACTTCTATGGTAGTTGTTTCGTTGTTTGGGTGGTGGTTAATTGGAGCTAAGAGTCTCATGGACTTTCTTGCTGGGGCTGGTTTTCAACCATGATCCTAACATCTCAGCCTCCTGTGTAGCTAGAATTACAGGTTTGAGCCACTGCTGCCTGACTTGTGAGGACTTCTCAAGGAAAATAATCACTCCCGTCATTTGACCTACCTGCTTTGCCAAACGTTATGCTGAAAGTCTTTGTTAGTTAACCTCACAAAAAGTCACTGGATTTGATTATTATCCTCATCCTACAGATATGGAAACAGAGGTTTTGAGAAGCAAAGAAAGTTCTTCAGAGTCATATGATGAATTGTCAGAGACAAGAGTCCCTGGATGCTTACCTGAACATCCGGGTCTTTAGTACTCTGCCTGGTAGAACGGGGGCCATCTTCATCCTTAGAGTTCTCTTCTTTGTCCCAGGAGCCAGGGTGGATGCTTAAGACTTACGGACCTAATTCAGTAGAAGAAGAGGTAACAAAACTAGGAGGCTTTCAGTCCTGGATATTTACTTTGTGCCCTGCTTACTCTCCTATCTCCACGGTTCCTCTGTCCCACTCTGCCCCTTTCTATGGTCCTGAATCTGCAGCCGGTACCCCAGTTCTCCCCTCTGCTTCCCGCTAGGTATGACCACCTATCTGATTTGACTGTTTCACAAGGGATCGCTGTGGTGTGTTTCCTGGCCCAGGGGCTGAGCTGAGAAGAGAAGGGAGCAAAGTTCTCCTTTGAAGGCTTCATATCAAGCCCCTTTGGGGAACCCCAGAGAAAATCAAGCCATCACTATCTGTATACCTTCGAAGTGCCAGCAAGCAGAGCCCCAGACGCCCTTCCCATACCCACAAAGACAGTCCCCTCATGTGCATGTGATTTTGCATGTTGAGGGTCAAATGAATTCCCAAAGCAACTACTCCAGCTGCTTAAACAGCCCACCTGCCCCTTCCACTCAGCACCGAAGCAGCAACTTGGCCCTAGGTTTACTTAAGTTTATTTTGGCTTTAATTTGAAACACTTTCCTATGGTTTAAAGAGCCAAGGATTTCGCATACAATTCTGATCTCCATTTTCCCTTGAAAATCTACCACGCTCTGGCAGACTTTGGCCCCACCCCTGAATGCCTGTCAACCAGCGGTTGAACCAATCAGGGCAGGGTCCATTTCTCCAGGACTCCTTCTTGCCATGACCTTCTGCTTCCAAGGAGCGACTTTGCACTAACCTGACCCAAGTCACTGCCCTTCTCCTATCTCTGAAGTGCCACCAGATCCAATTTCTTCTACAAGCTTTGTTTGCTTCTGAAAGCTGATTTGCTTGCCAGACCGACTCTCCCTCTCTGCCTTTCCTTATTATTCCCATCTTATACTTTCCTTCCAATTTTTCAAATTCAACAAGCATTTGAGTTATATATAGATGTATGACATGTACATCCGAAATATAGACATGGCAAAATGTGCTTCATCCAGCAAGAACAAATCGAGCCTCTGTTGTATACTACACAGTGGCCCCCAAACTAAGGAGTAGCGCCCTGTCTGTAATCTCAGCAATTTAGGAAGCAGCCGTCGGATGAATCAGAGTTTGAGCCTTACCAGAATA